TGCTTTAATAAATTATATTGGGGGTTTCCAAGAAATAATGAAATTCCAATTTAGGTTGACAATACAAGTAATAGGACTTTCAATTTATATTTATTGGTCGTTAAATTTTTTTGTTATTTTTTTTTTTTTGAGAAGTGGTTTTCGCCATTTTATTTTTATTTTTGTTACCATAACGCCAAAAATTTTCTTTATTATTGATAAATTTATATCTATTTTGATGAAATTATTTAATAATTTCAGACTTCGTAGGGCGTTGCTTCGTAGGATTTTTAATATTTTTGTTTTCTTTTTATTATTGCGAAATTACTAAATAAATTGTTTATGTCTTGTAAACAAGAAAAATTACATGGAAAATGAAATGTTATGTCATTTGAGTTAAGATGAGTTGAAAAAGATAATGTTTTTGTTAAATAAATTTATAAAAATGTAACTTTGCATATATAAGAAAATAACATTTGTTATCGAGAGTTCTTATCGATGTATACACATCAAGAGTTCTATGAAAAAAAATATTTGAACTGGTACTTAACGATGACATGCATGTCAAAGTGCTTAAGAACCTTAATAACTACTTCGAACTGTTGAGGGAAACTATAGGTAATATATGTAAAAGCACATATGTATATATATACGCGAGCAGAAGAAATTATTTATGAAAAGATATCACAGTAAGATACTTTTAACCGCTTAATGAAATGCACAAAATAATGCCATCACTGAATTTACACCAAGAAAAGAAGCAAAAAAATGCAACTTAACAAATGGTTTTAATCCAATCCTATTGTTTGGAAAAATTATTAAGATTTTTCTCAGCAATCAAAAACAAAATAAAAAAAAAACGAAAGAAAGAATAAATACTTCATATAGATAACAGCACATTAAAGAAGGCATAATCGTTATCACCTCCACGTACCATAATCTCACTCAATCAAAGTACAAAAGATACAAATGCCCCGATTCGTGCAGTGCACAAAATTACCAAAGCACAGCACATTTAATTGTGCTCCTGCGTCCATACTCAGCACACCCTTAACACTGCAGCACTGTCGCATCCATAGGCTCAGCCTCAGCCTCAGCCAAATCCACATCCACAGCGATAGCAATTGCAACAGCAAGAGAAGTAGCAGCCTTGTCCATTGGAAGGTTGTTGTACCGCTTCTCTAAACCACTTCAATAACATTGCAACAACAGCGGCAATGTTATCAACAACATTAATTGTATCTGCAACAACAAGAACAACAACAACCACACCACCACCATCACCACCACCAACGGCAACAACAATAGCAAAGCAACCAAATGAGTTGCAAGCATTCAGGCGTTAAGTATAATGTAATCTCTTCCGGATACGATACACTCATTCAGAATAATAACCATAAGGATATATGCATTCCGCGTACGTAGAAATATAAACTGCTTAAGCCGCCGTTGTTTCTGCATTGACAGACGATAAGGAGCGCTGCTCTACTCCGAGGTTTTATGGAATTTACGAGTTTATAGCACATTTCAGATCTCAGACAGCAAATCACTCTTAAACTGTTTCTTACGCTGGCACAACAACATTATCCTTGCCGTGATCCTTGTACGGAACAACAATAGTTTCAATTCAGCGTTTTTTGCTGATGTTGATGTGAGTGCACTGAATGCTGTGACCTATCTTCATAATTATATCTTGTATCTTTTTTGTGTGTATTGTATGATGATAATTTTTTAAAAAGCTAAAGTGTTTGCTGTTTAAGCATAAAAATAAGGCAAAAAAATACAAAGAGTAATAAAAAGGAATAAGAAAGGAAAACTGAAGGAAAATAATAATAATGAAAAAATAAAAAAAATATGCATAAAAAATTGGAAAGAAAAATAGTTAAAAAGAATTGAAAATCCTGCATTTTTCTTTTTAATTATTTTGCAATCAGGAGAAATTTTTTCCTTCATTCACAATTTTTTTCATACAACTTTTTAGATATTGTTTTTTTTTTAACACGTCTCCTTACCGACTATCCTTTGCACTTTAATGCTGCGAAACAATGCCACTAAATGGGGACGCGTTCAGTGGAAACAGCGTTATGTCATTAATTGTTATATTTCGTAATCTTTCAGAAGCGGTACAGGACTTTTGCCCCAAAAGCAACGACTGCAGCAGTTACAATGGCATTAGCAAGACTCAGAGATACAGGATGTCTATTAACAAATTATATAAAAATTGGTTTACAACTTTTCCTTCTCATATCCTTGGTGCACATGTATTGCTGGAACCTTTCCAAAATTAACCTCTAGTGCGTTTGAATTAACTCTTCTCTAGACAGAGTTCAAAGCATATCCTGTAGTTATAGAGAGATTTTGATAAATCGGAACAAAGGCAGGTTTTAAAATAGTTAAAGTTAAATTCTTAAAAAAAAGAGACATAAACCATAAAAAAAGAAAGGAGAAAAAATAAAGAAGAAAAAAGTATGAAGAAAAAAGAAAGAAGAAAAAACAAGAAGAAAAACAGAAGGAGAAAAAATAAAAAAGAAAAAAGTAAGAAGAAAAAAGTAATAAGTGAAAAGTAAGAAGTAAAAAGTAAGAAGAAAAAAAGAAAGGAGAAAAAATAAAGAAGAAAAATGTAAGAAGAAAAAAGTAATAAGTGAAAAGTAAGAAGAAAAAAGTAAGAAGAAAAAACGAAAGAAGAAAAAAAAAAGAAGAAAATTGTAATAAGTGAAAAGTAAAAAGAAAAAAGTAAGAAGAAAAAACGAAAGAAGAAAAAAAAAAGAAGAAAAATGTTAAAAGAAAAAAGTATGAAAAAAGTAAATAAAAATGAAAGAAAAAATACAAAAAAAAATAAAAAAAAGAAACAAAAAGAAAAAGCAAGAACAAAAAAATTAGAAGAGAAAAATAAAAAGAAAAAAGAAAGACCAAAAAATGATAAGAAGAAAGTAAGAAGAAAATATAAGAAGAAAAAAATAAGAAAAAATGTAAAGAAAAATGGGAAGAAAACAAAAAGCAAAAAAAGACAAGAAAAAAGTATCAAGTAAAAAGTAAGAAGAAAAAAGTAAGAAGAAAAAAATAAAGAAGAAAAAAAGTAAGAGGAAAAAATGAGAAGAAAAAATAAGAAGAAAAAAGTAAGAAAAAAAAAGTAAATAAAAAATACAAAAAAAAAATAAGAAGAAAGAAAGAAAAATGTAAGAAGAAAAATGTAAGAAGAAAAAGGTAAGAAAAAAAGTAAATAAAAATGAAAACAAAAAACACAAAAAAAAAATAAAAAAAAATAAACAAAAAGAAAAAGTAAGAATAAAAAAATTAGAAGACAAAAATAAAAAGAAAAAAGAAAGACCAAAAAATGATAAGAAGAAAGTAAGAAGAAAATATAAGAAGAAAAAAATAAGAAAAAATGTACAGAAAAATGACAAGAAAACAAACAGCAAAAAAAGACAAGAAAAAAGTAACAAGTAAAAAGTAAGAAGAAAAAAGTAAGAAGAAAAAAATAAAAAAGAAAGAATAAAGAAGAAAAAAAGTAAGAGGAAAAAATGAGAAGAAAAAATAAGAAGAAAAAAGTAAAAAAAAAAGTAAATAAAAACGAAAAAAATAAGAAGAAAAAATACAAAAAAAAATAAGATGAAAGAAAGAAAAAGAAAAAGTAAGAACAAAGAAGATAAAAATAAATGGAAAAAATAAAAAGTGATATAGAAAAGTAAGAAAAAAAAATGTGAAGAAAAATTAGAAGAAAAGAAAAGAAAAAAAAAGACTGAAAAAGAAAGCAAGAAGAAAGAAATAAGAAGAAAAAAGTAAGAAAAAAAAGTAAAAAGAAAAAAGTAAGAAGAAAAAGAAGAAAAACGGTAGTAAATAAAAATTAAAAGAAAAAAATAAGAAGAAAAAAGACAAAAAAAATAAGAAGAAAGAAAGAAAAAGAAAAAGTAAGAACAAAGAAGAAGATAAAAATAAATGGAAAAAAAAAGAAAAAAAAAGTGATAAAAAGAAAGTAAGAAAAAAAAATAAGAAGAAAAAAATAAGAAAAAAAATGTAAAGAAAAATTAGAAGAAAAAAAAAAGAAAAAAAAGACAGAAAATGAAAGCAAGAAGAAAGAAATAAGAAGAAAAAAGTAAGAAAAAAAAGTAAAAAAAAAAGTAAGAAGAAAAAAAAGAAAGGAGAAGAAATAAAAAAGACAAAATAAAGAAGAAAAAAGTAAGAAGAATAAATAAGAAGAAAAAAGTAAGAAGAAAAACGGTAGTAAATTAAAATTAAAAAAATTAAAAGAAAAAAATAAGAAAAAAGACAAAAAAAATAAGAAGAAAGAAACATCTATTCGAATTCGACAGATGCAAATCCGATGCATCAACTTCATCTGAGCCATTTTGGAGAGCAAAATGAGAACTACAAAATATGCCCGTATGGATACGCTGAATAAAGCTATTGTTCTGGAATGGGTTAAAAACTTATTTGTTGCAGTTTGAAGGGTATAGTCAAGATAATAGCTTGAACTAAAATCAATTAAAAATAATTTCACACGAAAAAGATATAGTCACTTGAATAGGTAACATTCAATCGCTTAACTCTGTATATATGAACAATGCAACTGATTTATAATATACTTAAACAAACACAACAAAACTATTTAAAGTCTCTTTTACTTTTTCCAATAATTACAAATAATTACAAAGTCGGTTCTACACATCCGAAATTGTGTAGAGATAGAGTATCTTCATATTATTGTCATTTGGTTAAGACGATTTAAAAAAAATAAAAAAATTAAGGGTCCGCCATAAAATAATGTCCTTACCGTTGTAATAATAGATCTAATTTCTAATTTAGCTATGGCGTGCCGATCTGAGTCTAAGTAAGATTATTTGTTATAAAACAGGGGCTTCCAAAAGCAACCATGTTTCTTTTAAAATATACTTGTTTTTACTTGTGAGTACTACTTTCTCTATCTCAGATATAATAACTTCCATATTTTAATTAAAGGCAAGATTTTTAGTATTTGATTTTTCAATTTTTTTATTCAGTGTCTAATGAAACCCAATGATCGATCACACGTAAAATTCATGTTTTGAACACCTACATGGACGTATAAATTTTATATCTGGCACTACTCGATAAAAAAATTTCCCTGCGAGAGCAAGACAGTTATGTTTGGCGCAATTTAAAAACTCAGCTTGAGCTATGTCCACTTTAGGATCCCAACCAGACCAAACTAATCCTGGAGACTCTAACAAAGCACGTCCAAATAGAAATGAAGTATGCCAGGGCTTAATTAAATCTGGATTGCTTACAGCATTTAACATTTCGGTAGCATCTATGGGTGTTTCATGTTCAGTTATTAAAACCATACCACCTAATCGTGGGCTAAGGGAACGTATTAAAAGTTTGAAAGTATATATTGCCCTTTCTTGTGGGCTTGTCACAGTTTTGCATTTGTTTCCTTCACCAAAAATGTCTATTCCAAATATCACACCTTCCATGAAGACTCTGTGATGGATGAATGAATGTTGTAAAATTCCCAAAACCGAAAGCAATTTATTTCCGCAAAATTTTAGATCATAATCACCATTTCTGTCGTATGTTATAACCACTATTGGTACTATATGGTTTTCATGGCACATCGTTGAAAATATGGAAAGCATCATAGCATTTCTATCGATAGCGCGGAAGCCGGGTCTTTCCTTGTCGATAAGAATGTTATAAGTCACTTTCAAGAATTGACAACCTTTCTCTTTGTAAAATTCGAAACGTGTATTTATATTATCCAAACCGAGTAATAAAATATTTTCTTCAAAATCTCCTTCACCCAACGGGTACGATGGAAAATCTAAACGTGCTCCAATCATAATACCCTCATTCTGTAGCATGGTTCTGCAGAGTTTACCGTTTTTGGTTTTATGTTCCAGCCCTTCGTCGTTTAACACGACACCAGATATAAATTCATTTATATTAGGTGTCGTAAGGAATAATTCACGATATCGGTTTCTATTTTCATTTGTATCGAACTGATATAAATGATCTAATAACATTGCGAATGAAGATGGTTGAGGATCAAAAAGTAGAATGCCTTTGTTTTCTGATAATAGTTTTGCTAAATTCATTTTAACAAGCTTCTTTGTCTCCGGTGCTAATTCAACGGAAATTTTCCTTTCCGTTTCAAGCTTGTGTACGATGGCATAAATGTACTTCCCGAATTTCAAGCAAGGGTCGCTCTCCATTGTTCCGAAAGATACCAAAACTGACTTTTGAATGATACACTAAAATTTTGCAACTGAATTTTTATTTATATGCGAAAATTAAATTTAGAAATTTAGCATTTCGGAGCAGACGTTGAATTTTTATTTTATTTATTTAATATTTTCTTTTACATTTTATTAACAATTTTTTTTCTAGTGTGTGATTTTTTTAAATATTGAAATTTTAATTAATGGTAACTTGTATCACTATATTTTTATTGGAAAAATTAAAAAAATAAACTTTCCTATGAAATATGTTTACAGGGAAAAGAATACTTTTTGGGCAATCTTCGATTCACCTTCAGTGGTCGACAGATACTCTGTAATCGCGCAGATTAACATTGAACCATGAATACATGGAATAAGAAACCAATTTGAGCTTGCAATTGACGGTTATAATATATTTATAGAATCTAGAATTATTGACATAAGGCAGATATTGCAAAATCGTCAAGTTTCTATATTTTTTACTTAATGCTGAAATTAATTTTATTTTAAATAAAATTAAATTTTAAAACCGGACATATGCTTTCTTTATTTTAAAATTGAAACATTTAAAAGAAAGCTCTGATCTTAGAGAACTCTAAATAATGAAGACTTGGTGTTAGGTAATAACAGTGGAAAGGAATCTGAGACTGAATAACTAAATAATGGGTAACCTTTGAAACAAATTCATAAATTTTCTTTTTGTTCTTACTAACGGAATTAAAAAAAAATTACAATGAAACTCCAAACAAAAATGTGCGAATATAAAAGTCAAGTACGGCTTTGGGTCAGTTTGTTAAGGAGTGCTGACTTTGAGCTTCTTACTTGGCAGGGCACGATTTCCATTATTCGGTTTTAAAAAATCAGTTTGCAAAACAATAAACAACAACTCAATCCAGATAAGCAGTTCTTGAACATTCACTTGTGTCGTGTGAATAAGCCATAATGCTACTATCTTATAAAAGTTGAGCAGTTGAACGGTTTTTTATAGCAAATATTTATATATACAAAAAATGTTAACTACTATAATGAAAATTCTGAAGCAATATCTAATTTTAGCAGCCATCTTAATGTCTTCATGTAATGTCTTTAAGAACTTATTAAAATACCAACATCTTTTAATGTATTCGTAGAGGCGGTCTTAAAAATGGAATGTTAATTATGACACATTCTATATTAGTCAAGAGCCGCATATCATATGTATTAAGGCGTATGTCATCAACTAAAAGTACAAGAAGTGCCGCAGTAACAAATTGGGATTGTTACAAGTCTCTTCATAATTATCTTAATAATCACTTGTGATAGACATGTGTAATGCGTTATTCATAGTAAGTACGTATATCGTGCGTGACGTGATATGAGGCCACTTAATAAACCGAATTTCAACAAGACAATTACTCACTTAACACCCTCGAAGTGTTGGTTGGTTTTTTATTAATGCGATTAATTTTAGTCAGAAAGTATGCTGGATATAGTTAAGTGTTTATAGAATCCAGAGGGAGAAATTAATTTAAGTTAGTTTTAGCTGAAGTAGGTTTTGAACAGCAATCCAAATTTTAATTCGATCAAATATGTGAAGGGAAGTACCCAAGTTGGAAATCGTACAAAATGAAATGTAGCAAATACCAAAATCATTTAAACGAAACAATAAACTTTAGAGATAATATCATTAAGAGTACCGTAAAAGTTAAGATAATAAATAGAACTGAAGAAACTAAAGAGGTATGTATACTATATGATAAGGATTTAGTTCCTTGATCCAAGAACCGCAACAAATTGTAAAGAATCTACTGAAATACATAGTACTAATGATACGGCACACATTGACAAAAAAGTTTATTGGTGGCTTACAAAGAAACTACTAGAATGAAGTCTAGATATATACTCTCACCTTTGCTTTTATTCGTTGTCCTGAACTTGTGGAACCTTGAAATTGTCGATTATGAAAGTATAAATAACAGAGAGGACAATCCAAGCTTTGAAGAGTTGTAGATGATATCATCTTAGTGTCTCAAATATATCAACTTACAAAGTCCAAACTTATTTATTTATTAATATCGATCCTTAAATTGATTAAAATATAATTGATTATCTACTTATAAAATTATCAACCAATGCAAGTTTCTTTATCAATAAACGTAGTATGACAGTATTTGAAAAGTTTTCATACTTAGGCACTATCCCTTCGTAGCCGTTAGGTACAGAAGACGAACAAGGTTTTGTTAAACTGTATAAGCTCTCGATAACAGATTATATTATACAGATCATAAAATTACAGATTTTTAACAGCATCACTTCTCACAGCAGAAAAAACAGTTATTGCAAACTTTTATAAATATTCGTAGATGTCTAATTCGTAGATATATAACTAATTAATATAATATAATATATAATTAATATAATTTTTAGTACAATAGGACTCTTTTGGCCGCAGGACCAGCTATTGGGTGATTTCACATAAATAATTTTAATAATAATAATAATAGACCTGTAATTAACAATAAATTGTTGTGAATAACAACATAAGTGATAGATCATATGATATATTATATACCATATCGGTTACTTGTCTGAATGGGGATACATTGGCGAAAAGAATTTCAGAACGGATTCAACAAATAATGTAGCGAGTTAAGAATAATGGTGCATAACAGAAGTATGGATTAATAAAATAATACTCAAAATTTGTTGAAACTGATTTATTTATAATAAATTAATATATAATATATTCGCTAAGCTCGAACATAATGCCACACAATCGTAATTGACATCACTAGCCTAGCGGCACCAACTTCTAAGAAAACTTGTGAAAACTTGTGTGAATCTGGTGTCACAGGCTCAAAGCCCGTGTCAGCTGTCACCAGAGCCAAGGGTCAGCTTCGACTGTCTTGATCAATAAAAATTATCTCGTGGGAGTGTCACAGTGGCTGTGATTAAAATACTGTAGGTTTAATGACTGTATTCATTCACTTTCATTCGATTTGGAGTTGCATTTCTCAAGCGGCTAATGTCACCCAAAGAACAACAGAAGTGTTAGATAGGCCAAACGATTCTAAACGTATAACTTGGAATTGGTACAGACGGAATTCTTTGAGACGGTTATCGGCGCTTTGTAATAATACATTTCTTAAGAGTACGAAGGTGTTGAGCCTTCACTGAAGGTGATCACGTTATATAGCTCTGGTCATTATGGTCTGAATTACCACTTACATAAATTTCGGTTATCTACTAATTTGGAATGTAGATTATGTTTCGAAGATGAGGAAACAACTATGTATATTCTTTGTGACTGCCCAGCTTTAACAACACACAGAATAAACTTATAACATATGGAATTCCTGTCACCAGAACAGATTAATAGCTCCTTTCCAGATTTAGTTCTGGATTTTGTTCACAAAGCTTTAAAGGGTTTTTGGTAATTATAAATGAATTTGATACAACAGGACTTTTCTGGCCGGTACGGCTGTTGAATTTAGTTTCTTGTAATAGCAAAAATCGTTCCTTCGTATTTGTTTTTTTCTGTTTAGTCCAAAGTAGAGCCAAAGCAATCGTTTTAAATTATGTGCTAGTCAAAATTTATATACAGATATAATTTAGGTAGAAGTTCTTCTGTACCAGGTTTTAAATGGCACTTCAGGTCGATGCCTAACCTGTAGATTATATTTAAATTATATTTCATTTAAATTCAAATTTGGAGTTTAATAAATATTACCAATCTTTAACTGATTTCTACCAATCTAGAATAGCTTGGGGTCCAATTGGAACTATGCGCAGTTTCCAGTAAGAATTAATCAATGTTCTGTCATTGATAATTGATAAAAAATAATGATACAAAAATAGATAGATTTCTGTTAAACTTTCTATTTATGAGAAATCAATTAATCAAAGTGTAACAAGACTAATAATAAACATATGGCCTATATGTGGCCCATTGTGGTCTGATGTAAAATTAAAATTTCCAACTGGGTAATGCAATACCATACACCGTGGGTGCTAAGTATTAATGAAGTCTTCACATGTGTATATAAATATGTAGTTATATCAGATATATATATCAGTGTGTCAGTAAGTAGAAGGAACTCACTTGACTTCAGTCAAGCACTCCAAGGTGTTAACCGAAAAAGGAATTGCCATGAAAACGAAACGGTTTAAGGGGTTAAAATTTGGAAACAAAATAATGCGTACCGCCAAATTCAGCGTCACACCTGAATGGTAGTGAGTCAAATAGAAAACTTGTAAAAATTACAAGTGGCGTGGTCGTGTTATAGAAGTGAAGTGGCGCGTAATTGCTTTATTGACAATTTCCTTGACTCTAACACGCCTTGGAAAGGTTTGGAAAATAGTGAAATACTGACATAAATCACTGGCGGTAATGAGTTGCCAGCGTGTGGTCCAAGAAAGCCCATGTGGTGTCCGGAATGACCAAATCGTGCTTTCAGTTCAATTGTGGTGTGCTAAATAGTATTTTTTGTCAGTGTTCGCTGTTGCATGTCAGTTTTGTGTAACATTTTAATTTGTCATTTAATTTCTTTATTTCCGCGCAACCCCCCTAGATGTAAGCAACAAGGAAACTTGAAAATGGAATAGAAAATTAAATAGTCGAACCCCTGTTAATATGCAAAGAACGTTTAATGCGAGGGTGTCATAGCGTGCAAGGATTTGTAATGACACCTGATTACCTCCTTTGACTTTTGTTGCCATACATTTTTTATACTACACTATCCAAATTTTGGAATAGTCTGGTTTTTTACACATGAGGTTGGATTGTGTGCGGTCAAATGAAAATGATTTGTATCTGTTCTGACAGTTGAATTTAAATGCTTATCTGTGAGCAAGTGCAGCTGATATGGTACGATTTGTTTTGAAGTATCGTCAGACTTAAATCATTTGTAATAGCGTAACAAATTCCAAAAAGATAGAAAGACATATTTGAACTTGTTTAGACAAATTAACATTTGACACGGTTCTTATAAAATTTAAGTGTTACACAACAAATT